AGCATTGTACCGTTGCACTTATGTCCTCTTGTTGTAGATATGTCCTCTGACGTAATGTGATACAATGGCCAATCACATCCTGTGATCTATGGAGCGACACGCGGCTTGGGACTGGTTAAGAGATTCCGTTGCAGTTATGTCTTCAAGCAAAAGTGCTCATTCAAGGGGGTCGGGATAGGTAGAAAATTTGACACGTATGAGCGACTTTCAACTGATCTCAGGAAAACACGCTGTTCGCAATCTCACACATTACTTTCCTTGAAGTTCTCTCACTCCTTCGTTAACGCCGTGTGATCGCATCGTTCTTCTAATCTAAACGTCCTAAACGTGGAAGAGCAACTTGCCACGTAAATAACAAAGCGACTTTTGACCAAAGGATGCGTTATTGTTCACGCTTTATTTGCAGTCTTGCTTTATTTACAGACGTCATTGTTCGACCTGCGACTTCAGTGACAACATTTTTCCCATATCAAAATTGTTTTATTTTCTTTAATAGTTGAAGATCATATATTATGGTTCGTCGGCATAAAATTATATATTTTTGAAGCTTCGCTGATCTGCCGGAGGTTAGATCGACTGAGAGGTCAAAGTTGTGATAATTTGTCTGCGTCACGAAGTCTTCCTTCAATCACAGAAGTTTGGCCTTCAGTTGATTATCTCGAAAATCGTAGGTTTTTGCTGTATGGCAAAACTCTGAAGTAGTAGATTGTGAAAATTTGAAATAGTAGATTGTGATGTGATTTTATTACGGTTCCGCTGATTTTAGCTGTACTTTCTTTAGTTCTGTCTCTAAATTTCATTACGGTCCGGTTCCGCTGTTTTAAGTTGCTCTTTTTTTAGTACTGTTTCTAAATTATTGTCGGATTTGTTGCACTTTTGGGTGGATTTGTGATAATACCCCGTTTACAACAAATTCACATAATGATCAAATCGAAAATCGGGAAAAGATGGCTATGGCAAGTCATTAGGATATATTCCACCTTAAGGACCTTAAGGATGAATTTCACAGAATTCGCTGATCAAATGGAAAAACCAGGTAAAGGGGATGGCATATGGAAACTTAGCGTGTTAGCCACTTGCAGATGAATTCGTAGAATTTATCCCGTTTTTCTAGAATTCATAAAAAAATGGAAAATCAGGTTAAAGATTGGCTATGGCAACTAGTGATGTAATTAATTCGGATGAACGCTTAGACTTCACCCCTTTTTTTGTCAAATTCACTGAAAAAAAATTGGAAATTCGGGATAAAGATAGCATGTGGGCACTTCGGGTATTATTCACCTGTAACATGAAAGCTCAGAATTTACCCCGTTTTCCTCGAATTCGATCGCTGATCAAATGGAAAATCGGGGTAAAGATGGCATATGGGAACTTAGCGTGTTAGCCACTTGCGGATG